TTATATGTTTTAAAAGGAAATGAATTATGTCTTCTGTCAAATTTAACTGAAAAAAAGAAAAAAACCTCGAATTGAGCATCTCATTGACTAATGCATATTGTCACAAGGCTCTGAAGGAAGTTGTTTCTGCACAATAATTGACTGGAAATTTCTGTTTTGATGGTGGAGAATTATTCACCTTCACACCTTTGAGAAGTTACTTAAGTTACAATTGTATGCAACAGCTGTTAGCTATGCTGCAGTGCACGTGCACCATTTGTTCTTAACTCTGTTCCTGATTTGGCCATTGTTCCCCGTTTGCATGACGCACAGTGACAGAGGGATGAAATCTCGAAACCAATCATGTGTAGTGTAGGTATAGCGAAATCCCTCCTTTCCATGAGAGTCTGCCCGAAGTGGAACGGGGACAGCAAAATTGTCCCCGTCTGTAGGCGTTGCACCTGGCCCCCCAGTTATTATAAAAAAGTATGCACGTATATTAAAATGGATTGAATCCTTTAATTGTGAATCTTGATGTAAGTTTGCTTGCTTCGGAAGTGAGGGTTGTTCAGGTTTAGAAATGATTTCTTTTTGGCCGAGGATTTGTAGCTCTGGCGCGTTAATGTCATTCTATTCCACCACAACATGAATTGAAAAATTATGTTTTTTTTATTTATAGATAATTTAAGTAATTTAATAATAATTTTCTTTTCAATACAAAGAAAAAAATAATGAATTAGTTAATAACCTTTCACTATTGCAAACCCCTTCTCTACCATGGGAAGGTATCTGGTGACTGGTATGATACTCTTTCAAGAGATTAATTTCATTAAGTAATAAAGTTTACTATTTATTAAAAAATAATAATTTAAATTACATAATATATATATAATTTTTAAGTGGTAGAAAGACCGAACAACAAGTTAAGCTACCTCTTAATAAGGTGTTGATTTTTAGAAAATAAGATGAGATCCCTAACTTTTACCTTTTCATCACAAATAGAAAATACAAAGAGAACATATTTGATGGCCAATACCCAATGGTAAGATTTTGGTCCATGTGCTATTTGTCAACCAAATTATCTTATCTCATATTTTCATTAAGTAATGTCATTCATACAGACTAGCACTAGTTCAAAATAAGATCGACTTTAAAGTGTGAAAGAAGGAAAACCAGCTACATGAATCTAGCCAGGGGGAGACTTCTAAATATAAATTAGAAAACAGGCATGCTAGACCCACGAAAAGAAAAACTCCGAATTTAAAATAATCAATTAAAATATCAGTCGCAGCAATAATCATGAAGAAAAATGAAAGCGGTTATGTCATCAATAATGTCACTATTCCATTTTTTAATGTATTTTATTTACATGCTTTATAAATTAAAGTTAAAATATATTATTTAATAAAGGGCAGTCTGGGTCCATTTGGGTTGCTGGTTTTG